ATGCTCCTTGTTTCCATGTCGCCAACACTGCCAGCCGTATATGTACTGGTGAGCGTCCTAGTTCGTTTCCTCTACTTTTTGTCTACGCTCTTCCTGTACAAATACCTGAACACCTTCCCTGTACATGTACTCTCTTTCATTTTCCTTACTTCAAAGCCTGTCCCTCCCATATTCCCTTTTACAGCCTCATTCGTTGTATTCCTGTCAGCGCCCAACGCCAGACGTACCACCGTCATTCGATTTACATCCGTTCCTGATTTCACCTCTGACTTCATGCACACCACTGGGTTCCGAAGTGTAAGCCTCAGAACTATTTTGCCTTTCCACAAACTTCGAAGTACTTCGTACCTGTTATGTCCCTAGAACGCTCTGTCCTTCATTATTGCAGCATTCCTTTTTCCATTTATTGCTTCCGAAGTTTTTTTTTTTTCTGTGTACCTCCATGCATATATATGTATATCTCCTTCATTTACCCATGCTCCGAGGTACTTGTACTCGCTTACCCTCAGTACTTCTTGGCCCTGTATTAAGACTGTTGAGATATTTGAATACCATCAATCCACATATGTTGCACTAAATCCTAGTCTTAAAGCCTCGCCCTCCCTTCCAGATATATCTACCAGCCGCTGTAAATCGTCTTATATGTGTGCAAATAGAACCATATCGTCTGCATGAAATAAATCTGGAAGCTTATGCTCAACCATCGCGCCAGCTCGTTCGTGTGACAGAGTAAACCCAATGTCGCCACCTTCTAGCGAATTTCCCATCCTCACCATGTACAGCATGAATAACAGGGGGGATAAAGGACATCCCTGTCTCAGCCCCTTCTGAATTTCAACGCTGTCGTTGGTACTTATTCTTTTGGATTCTTCACAAACTGTATTCTCTTGGTATATTTCTCTCAAGAGCTGTACATAGTCCTCAGCTATTCTCACAACCAGAGTTCATCATCACTAGTGAACTGATCGCTCGAGATATCATGAGGTATGAGGCTGGTCCTGTTCGCGCCGGCGTAAGTGCTGCAAGTATGAATGCACGTACCAGATAGAACAGTGTCTACATGGCATATCTACGCTGCATGGTGAAATATTCTGTTCGTATAGTTCAGAATCTGTTGACGTAACAGAAGATGGCGGTTGCACGCTTGCAAAAAACAGAAGACACCTTGCCGCAACGCTATCGATTCAAAGAGCAGAGCGACAAAATCTATGAAAAAAAAAATAACATTACGTGTTTCTGCGCGTATTTAACTTTTCTAGTGCATATACGCCTATAACAAGCTATCTCTTTGTGAGTAGGTATAGTCTTGTCCCAGCTGCATTTTCGATTGGGACCAAGTGAACATTCCTCGACAGTGATTACCTTGCCACCACAGATTGCACGATAAAACATCTACGATTGGAGTACTTCATAGCTGTCAAAAGTCACTGAGTGAAACTAATGTCAACCAAGGTTGCGATAAAGTCAGCCCGAAAAATAACGCGTATGAAATCGTGTGGCCAAAGTGCAGCACAACCACAAGAAGATTACTTAATGCGTATCGCAAGCGTGTTTAGATTCACGCAGTGAAGTAAAAAGTACATTGTCTAAAAGGTATCACGGCGTCAAGGCGGCTGGACATATAGAACTCAACATAAAAATCATTCCCATAGGCTTGCAGTCACAAACATCGATAGCAACAAGTTCACTCAGCAAAGTAAGCAAAAGCGAAATGTTATTATGACTGTACAAAAACATGCTGTGCATATCTATCATTCCGCCTCGTAAGCGGAACCCTCCTTGACTTGTGAAATGCACTTCGTCCCGACGAGGACTACGCCACCTACGCTTAAATGAGATCAGCGACTAAAGATGTCTTGCCCGATCGAGCGGGTTTTCACAATGATGGGTTTGCGAAGACTTGTCCATTCAATGACACGATGAGAGGCCATTGGTCGAAACGGCCACTGTACGTGTCGTTTACTGAATTTTACTGCGATTAGTTTACTTTTACTTACTCTTTTCACAAGCATACGCATCGGAAGGGGGGAGGGGGATCTCATGACTTGATTGACATGTACACCATATCGGCTCAAACTACCACCGAGAGTCATGTCACAGAGAAAAGCTAACGCCTGTGCCCCCCCCCCACCCCTCCCACAATCGAGTTGGTGGACATCCCCCCCCCCCCCCCCCCCCACTACCGAAAAAATTTCTTGCTACGCCCCTGGTTACCATATTCACTCTTTACGTTATTGCAACATTATCAACGGGCACTTTTCCACAGCTCATCAAGATCTTATATACCACATTGCTCGTGGGCTCGCGCATTCAGGAAAACGGGCATTGTGATTAGTAGTGCGCGTGGGTGTGGGGGCTGTTTGTTGACTTCATGAGGCACATATCGAAGACAGCTTGCAAGGGGCACTGAAAAACAAGTTAACATTGTTCCTATTTGAATGTTTGTTATTATTCTGCAGCCTGTACAAGTACGGAACTACGTGCACTGGTCTCTTGTCTTGCCTTTTTTTTTTGTTACCTGGTTCTGCTTTGCCTTTCGCAGGATTGTTTCGTAGATGGATTTGATGACAGAATGAGAAAAGCCTGCGTCTCGTAACCATGCTAGTCGATTCACCAGGCTTCGCTCGCATTCGTGCTCACTTATATAAAGCTAACTTAATACTGATCCATACTGCAGGTAGGCTGTTCCATTGTGTCCCATCGTCTTTCTCCTCGCAACCATCTCCCCGCGCGCCCGAGCCTCTGTAGAACTGAATATACGAACAGCGCAACTTAAAAGTTCAGAAGTGGTAGACCCCTCTCACCTTTCCACTTAACTCATTCGAAACTGGTGAAAAGGGGTATCATCCATGGTTGCCTTGTTAACGCTCTTAGAAGGTCATGCCCGCACTCTATGCAACGCAGTTTCATAGCACAGGTCGAGTGCCTCTTCGGCACTGGTTACTCAAACGCCCTGATTTCTGCTGTTAAGGAAAAGCTTTTAAAGCAATTAAAAATCAAGGAGGGCAATCTCAGCCTCAAAATTCGTCAGTTCCTAAGAGCTTTGTTGCAGTCTCTTATCTGCACAATGTTTCGCATAGGCTGAATGAAATCGGGAAACGAGCTGGTATCACTGTTTTATTTTACGCCCCGGAAAAGCTATCAAAGCTTTGTAGGTTGGTGAATCACCCAGCTCCAAATCGAGTAAAATGCTCTGTGAAACACAGAATGTGCTTAGTGCATTGTATTATTGGTGCATTGTGTTATTGTACGTAGCAGTCAGCGTGCTCGTTGGCATGAAAGGTGCGAGAAACCGCTTAAAGCATGTGACGAATCCTTCTAGACACCGTTTGACATTACGCTAAAACCTGAGATTTTCAGGCCGCGAACTCGCTCACAGCGAGAAAACGGCCCACCGCTCGTGTCGCAACGGTGAGCGGTGAGCGACGAACACGGCACAAAATTTTCGCTCTTTCCGCTGCGACGGAGTGCCTTTTCTACCAGGACCAGCAGAAATAGCACCCAGCCGGCTGAGCCGTAAAAATTTCGCCGACTGATTTTTCGGTCAAATGTTGTTGCGCGCTTAGAAAGTGTTTTTTACTAAAAAAAATGAGAGCTCTTCGCTATCGTAAAAGTTGAAAGTATCATAACGCAGATGACCCTACACGGCAGTTGAAAATTTTTGCAGTGTCTGCCTCAAATATTAACAGCAATGAAGATTTCGCGCAGTCCCGTAAGAAAAAAATGCAGCCCGTCTGAACCTTAGTGGCCGTTGCGAAGCAAGTGAATACAGCGAATCGAACAAATTTCATTTTCGGTGTGATCCCAGCATGTAACACAGCCCTAACTCAGCTTCTTAGGAGCTGGATGAATCTGAAAAATTCTCGTGTTAAACGATTTGAGAGGCAATAAAATCCTTCAATTGAATGGATTGATCGTTACTTAAAAAAGTTTTCAAGGGCCAATTTAGGCACCACAGCGTAAGCCTACTAAAACTAAGGTTGCCTATTCCTGAACACCTGACATCAACTGCGCCCAAACTTCATCGCATAGCATATATTGACCAACTTGTCCAAGAAGTTTGTCCAATCCGGGAAACGTTCTCTACTCCCCTCCAACCCTAAGAAGACGAAAAGACCATCACGGTACTTTGTTCATGCAGAAATCGACATTATCCGACTAATGATACACGACAACGGGAACACCGCCATATAATCACTTAGTGCCGCAGGCTGCGTATGTAGGAAGGCCACCAAATGACGCCCACTTCCCGACATGTTTTTGCTAGTATCACCGTGTTAGACACGTTACACTCGATCGTATGACACACCGTATCATATTGTGATTGCAAAACTAAGCTAACATGTTATCACGCGTGACTTGCGCTGTTTATTGAGCCATTAAGTCCGACCATCTTCGCCCCGCTAGAAGTCAGAACAAGCGAAACCTTCTTCAGGTATGTCGATTGTTCAATAGAATCTCAATTTGAAAAGCTGCCGTTAAGATGCAAAGCGGTGAAATTCGTAGATATATATAAAAATTCATCCTGCAGAAGCCTAACGGCAATAAGTTTTCAAGGATGCAGTGCTAAAATGCATGCCTCATTTTCTGTTTAGCCCGCACTGTTAATTCTTCCTTTTCGTTTTTTTTTATGCTCAACCTGTACTGGTTTGCAGGACGACTTTCGATAAAGCGAGAATATGGAAGGTGAGCTGCTCGCGATACTGCCCTCAGGCAATCCCATGACGCGTTCCAGACACAGTTTGTCGCCGAGTTCCTGCATACGATACATGGTCAAGACTGGCCTTCGCTGCCTCCGCTTTAGAAGAGAAATTTTTGCCACCACCAGTACTGCTATAACACTGAGCATCCTTTTTGCCAGCCTGCGCATAGTTCGTGCAAGGGAGGTACCTTTGTCCGTCGACGAAGACTGCCCGGAAACCCACATATCAAGATGGCTGCCTTGGAGGCAACGCCTCAACAACTCCAGAGTTCCGCTTCTTTTGCTTTGGAGCCCAGCAATGACGTCGTCAGCTGCCGCAGAATCGGACGCTCCTCAGCCAGACATCTACTTCGGAAGCTCACTTGCAAGAGTCTTCAACTGCGCTTGGAACCCGGGCGAAGAAGTTTCGTGCGAAGTGACCATGCATCACAGTCGTGTAAATGACAGCGACGCATTGGTGTTCTACGGAGAAAGCATTACGGCGTCACTTCTTCCCAAACATCGAAGGACTGGACAGATGTGGGTGTTCTGGGCTACCACCGACCAGCCGTCATCTGAATTGCACGAGAACATTTCGCCGATTTCAGGTCTCTTCAATTGGACTATGGGACGCCGGAACGATGCGGATGTGATTGTTGCCTACAAGACGTGGTACTGTGGAAACGCCGTTCGAAAGGACCGCAATCAAGAAAAGATGGAGGCACACATGCAGAAGCGGAAACACAGAAAGGACGCAGCATGGATTGTCGGGGAGTGCGAACGCGAAACATTCGTCAATGTCTCGCGCAATTCTATGAGCAACTTGGCCACTGATCACGAGAGGGAACGTGCCATCCGCGTTCACCTGTTGACGGCTTGTGGCTCCAAGCAGTGCGGCTCACGACGGGACTGCGTCCGGTATATAGCGCAGAGATATCATTTCATTGTCGTCTCTAACATGCCGGAGTGTTTCCAAAATGCCTCCGAACTAATCTACGACGCCTTCGAACACAACGTGGTGCCCGTGGTGCTTGAGGCCGAGGCCTCACTTGAATTTCCTCCGAAGTCCGTGATCAGCTCTTCTACAATGCGCGGTCCTGGTGAACTGGCGGCGTATCTCAGAGCACTCATTGATAATCCGAAGCTGTACGACTACCACTTTGCCTGGAAAGATAACTGCACAGTGACACCACCCGTGGCCGACGGTCTGTGCGCTTTATGCGGCGCACTTCATGAGAAACCACTTCGTGAACGACACCACTCCAATGTTTTGGACTGGTGGAAAAGGCCCAAGAACTGTACCGACACCCTTTTCTCGATCCTCAGCGAATCGTTCTTCGTGAATGAATGAAACGACAAACATTGCGTGGCAATGGATGCCAGTTTTCGAGAATGTGCGCAATGTCACGTTTTTTGCTTTATCTGACAACACTTCAATGAAATTTCCAAGGGGCAGCAGTGAGATGCACCTAAATAAAGAAAACGTGATTTTATTGTCATCTGTGGAGTTCACGACGTAGCTCTGATAAGGAAATTTCGTTCCTTGGCCCATTAGAGTTCGTATTGCACCAGAAGAAACCATTACATAATTTTAGCAGAAACTTCTTTTATGAAGGGCTGTTTTTTTTCTTATCCTTTCGTTATCTAGACCAAATTGTTTCATTGCACGTAAGAAGCAGCCATTTTTGCCTTCAGTTAATCTGGCGCGTCCCATGTGATTGATAGAGTTGCTTTTAAATATCGTATACTTTCGGCACATGTTTGCTCGCCATTAGCTTCGACACAACCAAGTCCTCCGGCCACGCCGACAGGTTGTAAGTGACGTAAAGATTACACAGGCTTGCTTTAGACGCAGGAATGGCTGTGAAATATAGTGTCTGAAGAATTTCATGCACATCTACGTGCGAGGAAAAAACACTCAAGACAGGGCAGGTGCCCGTCTTCTTTCACTTCATCAGTTTCGCACTGGTTACAGGGTAGATACCTTAAAGGACCCGTGAATCACCCAGTGATCGAAATTCAGTTGTTGAGGGGAAATTGTACCCAAGTGTACGATGAACACGGAGCCGTGATAATTTTTTGAAACGGTGCAGTTATAGCGGAGTTAGACGCGATTGACTGTCAACAAAGTGAATACCACACCTTTCGCTATCTCCTGCGCTTCCCTCTGCGAGTATCCTCTTCCATGCCGCTTTGCCCTCTCACCGAGCGCCCCTCCCAATCTCGCGTGGAATACGCCACCGCTGACGCGCTGCTTGAAACACCATCTATTTCCGGTTGCCGCTACTCCAACTATGGTGGCTAATTGATTGATATGTGGGGTTTAACGTCCCAAAACCACCCTATGTATATGAGAGACGCCATAGTGGAGGGCTCCGGAAATTTAGACCACCTGGGGTTCTTTAACGTGCACCCAAATCTGAGCACACGGGCCTACAACATTTCCGCCTCCATCGGAAATGCAGCCGCCGCAGCCGGGATTCAAACCCGCGCCCTGCGGGTCAGCAGCCGAGTACCTTAGCCACTAGACCACCGCGGCGGGGCAACTATGGTGGCTAAAAGGGGGAGGTGGGAGCATCGCCAGCTGCGGAGTGTAGCAACAGATCATGGCGGCAGCGGCGGCGCTGCTGTAGCTTTTTTAAAAAAGATCGATCGGTGGGGGCGAGCGTCCTTGACGGCCAAACAGGCCAGGCGCTGCACGAGAAGGTATGCGCACTTTGCAGAGCTTGCGACCTCCATGTAATAACTGGAATGCAGCTGTGTGCACTAGCAATGGGGTGTTTTTAAACGAAAATTTAAGCACGGAATGCATATCGAGATTAAGGCAACGAACTACCTCTAATGGCATGCAAACATACGCGGTAGCACCCAAAAGGCAAGGCGGCGTACTCCACGATAAGACCGTGCGTATAAGTTCGAATACCATTTGAAACGTCGGTGTAAAACGATCATATGCTCACAATTGCAACGTTCGGTACCTCCCTTTACATTTCAATGCGTAACTTTTAACGATTTTATTATATTGTAGTTTTCGCAGCTGTTCACTTTTTCGATGAGTTTCGTGTTTGGTGAATTTTCTACACACCGAGTGACGTATAATTAATCAAGGAGATTTTAATAAAAATTGTATACATGCGCAACGTTCAGGGAATTAACAGCCTGCATCTTTATTTTTGTGCATCGCCAATCTTGTACAGCAAGCAGCTCTAAATTACAATCACATGAAAGCGCAACTCCACACATATTCACGTTACGCGAGGAAGCTTCAAATAGTGCATTCGCTGCCGTCGCTTGCCCTCCCGTGCCTTGTTTTCCGCTTTTACAATGAAGTGCAGCCTTGTCATTGTATAAAACTTGACGAGCCTGTTAGTAACATCTCTGGAATGTTTTTCGCACCGAAGAGGAGTTAGCCGGTTTCTTGTCAACGCAGAAATGAAGTCCATTATGCTATTTGCTTTAAGCTTGCTGAAGCTAAAGCAGCGCGCGAATGAGTCTTCCATGTTTTCGATAAAAGCCTGCAGTTCATCAGATGGGTAGAGCAGCCCACCCCGGTCTACTTCTCTGATTAGGCAGGCATCTGCGGGCATATCAGAATCGCGTGGTCGGATAAGGGCTTTTGCACATTCAGGGCACTTGGTTTGGCTCAGCATCCTTTGGGCGACATATCCAGCAACGTAACGCATAACTCGGGAATCGCTTTTTACCGAAACCATTGCGCAGTTATCTGTTGGGATGCCAGACGATTCAAGAATTTCATGTACTTCATTGAGACACCCTATGTCCATGAGCTCGTCAAGCTTCGTCTGGAACTCTCTCTGGTCTTTGTGGCTGCCATGTATGAGGCTCTTCAGCACTGATGGTGACACATTTCCGTTAGCAGGTGCCTTCGCCAAACTGCAGAACGACAGACAATTTGCCGAAAGCAGAAACTGGGAATTGGCGTCGGGTGGTCCTTGCTTCCCGACATTTGCCGCAAGATTCCGAACACATTCTCCACAGGATCCTGGCTTAGTCTTGATGTCAGCAAGTACTTGTAACCAAGCTCTTTTGTGAGATATTCGAAAATCGACATGGTGCTTTTCAGAGTAACGCGAAGCCCTTCTGCAGTACCCTGGCTGAAGAAGCCCAGCTTCCCAACGTTTCCTTCCTACGCATCTAGATATGCAATAAATTCCTCCACTTCAGCCAGAACTGGCGAGTTGGGACGCATGGCACCGCGGCTGCAGCGGGAAGTCATGGCTGCAATCAGCCTAGCCATTCTTCTGATAAATGACACTGTTGCATCACTAGAGCCAACGCCCCATACTCTCTCGATCTCTTCCTTATATGCATACAAACCCCTGACCATCACATCACTGAAAAAAGTGAAAGCATAGTTCACTTTCATTTTTCAAATCCGTTCGGATCGATGACGACTCTTGTGACACGAGGCATTGCTTTAAGCTACACAATGTCCCTATTGTCACACTTCCATGCCTCTTTCACAACATCTATCCTGACCCTTCCTTCGGGCACCTGGAGACCCGTCGACACAATGCTGTTGCGGGTGCACTTCACAAGATGCGGAAAGTCTGATAAGAAGTGCAGACTTCTGCTGTGATCTGCAGGGTGCTTCAGTTTGCAAACAACTGACTTTGAAGAACCCTTGATGCCAAATTGTCGCCACATACTCCTGTTCCAGGATGCACCATCTGTGGTCACAAAATCCACAAAAAGCCCAGACTTCTCGGCAGTTAGTGTTGCATCGACAATAATTTTTGCAAGCACATCTGCCTTGACCTTTCCATGGGAGCCGAAAACCCCTAAGATTTGCTGAAAGTTGCCTGAAAATGGCTGGTACAATACTACTAGACCGTGATCACACGTGTGTGTGCTTTGATCTAGAGAAGTGTATTTGCCCAAGTGAACGAAACCTTCGATGAGTCCACTGCTTGTCACTTTGAGGCTCTCCGAGAGCTTCAGCTCGTCAATTAAGAGACCTCCGTGCCTGTGAAACTCATCTATACTTTTGGTTTTTTCTTCGATGGGAGCAAAAACATTATCATTGAACCCAAAGTGACTCTTATAATTTCTCACGTACTTGTTCAAACAACTCTTGCTGGGCAAGACCATTATTTTATGCTTTCGAGTATGCTCATGCAGCTTTGGGATTTTCATGCGCATTATAATGCAGTCCAGAAGCCATTCATCGCTGTACTTCATCCCCTGTGCCCCTTTCCTTTTCGCTGCTTCAAAGCATGTTTGTACCTGCTGCCGCTGTTTCTCAGGCAGCTTAGACAGACTCTCCTGAAGGTTTGATTCAGAGAGGGTAGAATTACTTTGCTTCATTTTCGCAAGCATTTGCTTTAGTTCACTGACTTTTGCCTTTTCTCGCCTCAACTGTCTTCCCCGCATAATTAGTTTCTTCGAAGCACGGTAACCAGTAGCCACTCTAGCTTTTCTCTTCTTATAGGATGCTTGGTTCAAAAGCAGTTTCCTTAGATACCTGCAGTGTATACAAGGCCTTTGATCTTGAGACATGCCTAAGCAACTTTTGCTGTACAACTTGTTTGCATGAGTTCTGTATTTTGATTGATTGGAACTGTTAAGCCGCTCCAGTAGAATAGCACCTTGCTCAAAACCGGAGCACACAAACATCTCGTTAATGGAGTGGAGGAGGCTTTCAACAGCATTCACATCAAACACGTCCACTTTTTTTACAACTTTCCCTTGCACAAACACTACACAATGATAGCAAGTATCCTCATCAGAGCACAACACCAGTTTCTTGAAGCACACACTATCACCATCTTGAGCACCAACAGTAAACGCAACAGCGTTCGGGGTAACCGCAAGTAGGCACATCGACCAGTATTTGCTTGGAAGCTTCTCACCTTTCATATGCTCCAGTTTTCCCATTGTACACGACGCGCCGGGAACAGGTTCACCGTTCGTTGTCACATCTAAGGAAGAATCGTGCTCCATCGAAGCAAGTTCGTTTTCATCGTTCACTTTTCTTTTTTTGCCGAGCACTTCTCCTCTCGATGTCCGGGAGCTGCGCTTCTGAGGAAGCTTTTTAGAGAGATAACTCGGCGTGTCTGGGAAGATCGACGGTATTGCATCGTCGGTAAGGCATGGGCGGCCGCGAGGAATCTTCACAACTTCACCATTCACGAAGCGGGTGTAATCTCTCACAATAAACCGTTGCTCGAAGTGTATCTCGCACAGGACAAGAGAAGTGTAACTCGCACAGGAGTAGAGCTTAGACTTTCTTTTTTTTTTCGTAGTGCAGGGCTCGAGTTTAGTAATTATCGAGTGTAGGAACAATTGGTTTCAGAAAGACATGGTTAAAAAGACTGTAAAGTGTTATGG